CTTTCTTTGGGTGGCCCAAACCTGACGTTGGGAAGGGGTTTAGGGTTTATAGGGCTTACGGGCAGGTATGCATGTTGAAACACCAAACCAAATGGAGTATGGGGGGGCCTCAAAGTAATCGTACTCTTCCCTGGGTTTGCCTACCGCATGCAGGATATGGTTTCAGGATTCAAGATTATCCATGCAAAGCCTCCCGAAACCCTGATTGAGGAAATTTCTGGGATATGCACTGCACGACAGCAAAGACCTGCAATTGAGGGATCTTGACGACGGAGTATCGACAAGCCTGCATGCCAGGTGGATGTTGTACACCCGAACCCCCCGACATAATTCGGGAACCCTAAACAATACAAACCAAACCACCCTTCAAGCTTCCTTCCCCCCCAGGAACAACGGGTCTGTAAGGGTTCTATAAGGGGTCTTAGGGTATCTATAGCCCCTGTCTGGTTCTTAGTAGGGAATGGGGGAATGGGTTATGGGGGCGATTGTATAGGGACACGAGGGCCTTTTGGCAGGTATGTAGGAACCTGATCAAGGAACCTTGCATGGGACTTTGTTAGGGTTGTGGATATAAATCCTACTATTTTGGGATGATAGGGCCAGGGTTTCTTAATCAGGTTCCTACATTAAACGGAAAACACCAGCCCTGCACTCCAAAGCCCGGCAGCTTTCAACTTCAAACTCTGCAGTGCTGCATTGCGAAACCCAACCTCTAAAGAACCTGAAGCCCTGAATGCTACCTGGAGTCTCCATTGTAGTTCCTTTTTTTGGCTAACCAGTTTTATGGTTAGGATCCTATAACAGGGATTTTGGTTTACCAAAAAGAGGAACCACAATGGAAACTATAGGTAAACCCGCTCAACCCTTAAGCCCAAACGATTGAAAACCAAGCCCTGAATCAGAACCCTGAAGCACCTCACACTGGCTGGGGCTTCAGGACTTGGGAGCTAAACGGGTTCGCGCTTCAGGTACCGAGGCAACATCAAGACGTGCCAGGTTTTGGCGTTTGGGGTCGGGGGCATGGCTCTTGCAGCTTAGGTTCAGGAAGACATTTTGCAGTAGAAGTGTGTATTGCGGCGGAGATCATCACAGGTTGCAGCTTTGCAGCTTCATGTACATTCTCCAGGAAGGCACCTGTGGAATCCAACCATGCAAACTAGGTCAGTGCAAGACTGCTCTGGGGAGGCGGCATTGTGCTCCACCGACTTGACGACGTTCTCACCCAGATTGCTGGTGATCACCTCGACAGCCCATCCCCCAACCCCAGGAGCAGCGGACTTGGACCAGGGTTTACTTGTTTTTTTGTAGCTTAAGGCTTTCGGGCTTAACGTTTAGGGTTTTGGGGAACCGGGTTAGATCCCTGCCCAAACCAAGGAACCAAACCCTTGACCACAAGGTTAAAAACGACGCGAGCAATTGAGCCATACTCTCCAAGGCGGCTTAAAAGGGGTTTAGAGTAAAGGGTTCCGTGATTCAAGGAGTTCAGATCACACTGTCTCGGGATTACGGCGCCGAGCCGTAAACAGCAGCTGAAGTCTGAGCATATTCAAAACAAGACGGCATGGAAAATCTTGAGCACCGTATGCATAGCACCCCAAACCCGCTAATCCAAGCTAACCGCAACACCGTCGGCGAAGCTTGGGCCCGAAGCCCTATAAACTCTAAAACCTTAAGATCCTAAAACACTAAAACTACATAACCCTCAGCCCTAAACCCTATACCCTATGTAACCCTCAGCCCTAAACAACTCGAACCGGTTCCCTGCAAGTTCCGCGGGGCCCCGGCAAAGAAGCGCACCCGTGGATCCTTCCGCTGCATAGGGTAATCGTGACATGCGGATTCGTTCATCTTATGCCCAAAGGCTCCATGTACCCAAATAGGGTTCTTTTAAGGGCTCCTATAGGGGATCCTATGGCTCCCAAAAGGGGTCTGTAAGGGTACCATAAGGGTTTAGGATCCAGGGTTTAAGGCTCCATGTACCTTTATAGTAGATACTTAGGCCTTACAAGGGTGCCTATATAGGTACTTTAAGGCCTAAGTATATACTATGCTGAACTTAGAACCCTAGCAAAAATTCTTAATTTTAGCTGTTTCTTGGGGGTTATAATAACAAAAATTTAAAAAATATTCTTAAGTACCCCTAAGTAAAAGGTACATGGAGCCTTAGGGATGGTTCAGCATTTAAGGTTTATGGGGTTTAGGGATGAGGCTAGAATTCAGAACAGAACTCGGTGAAGCCTCAACCCCACCCTGTGTCATACATGTGTTTGACAGCCCGGAGAAGCCCGCAGTAAAGCTCGAAACCCGGAAGTAAGCCAAAGTCAAGCAATGCCACAAATCCGCTTTTCAAGGCCCTGGCAAATCAACCAATTCACCGAATGTCAACCCCTGAACCCAAATCTGAACCCTAGCACCCATGCAAATCCTACAAGCGACGAAGTCCTCCACGAGAGGACTTCGCGAGAAGCCCGGCGGCTCGCGCAGCATGGTGGGTCATGCAGAGGGGGGCCTAAACACCCTATTCCTAGTGGCGAGTTCCGCTAAGGCTGTCGTTGACAGTTATGTTTGGAGCCTAAGGAGGCTTCAGGGTAGAGCTGGGCTTATGTTTGAGGCCTGAACCCTATGCCCGGAAGGCAAGTCCGGATTGGGTCGGTATGGTAAAGGTGTAAGTCTCAGGGTGTGCTTGAACAGTAGTTGACAACGCTCGAGAGTTCACGTGTAAAATTGAGCCACTTGGCTGTGGTCACATAGCCCAGTTTTTGAAGTCGTAGGCTATGGTGCTTCAGTTCGCTGCATTCTAGTGAATCTAGAGCTGTGTCTTTCTGCCATGTAAAACGTAAAAGAAGCGGTTTTTTGGCGAGAATCATGCTATATACAAGTATGCCATCCGGCGATGGGTGAGTGTGGCATGGTGGAGGTCAAGTGAGTGCTGATCTTCAAGCTGAGCCAGAATGGCTTGGAAGCGAGCTGGAGTCGGGGGCTTCCGGCTATGAGTCCTCAGGTCCAGAGTAGCGGTGGACCCTAAACTCAACTTCAGGGAGTAGGATCTATTTCGAAGGCTTGGAAGCCGAGGGATTATGAGAGTCTTCGGAGTTAGGGCACAAGAGTTTTCGCGGTTTGAGGTTTGAGATGCGGTTCAGGGCTTGGGCTTTACGGCTGCCTTCCAAAAAAATAAGTCAATTAAGGTTTATGGCTGAGAGTTTTAGGAAAAGAAACGCAGCATCTCAAAATAGCCCGTCACAAGTAGGCCGCAACACACGGAGGAGCTGCAAGAGACACAAAGCCGACCTCCAGGCTTTGAAGACGAGATTTGATCCCAAACCCAAGCTTCCCTGGCCCACTGCTGCCGATGAACAGCCGAACTTGAAACTCCCGCAACCAGCACGTTGTACCCCAAAGCCCGACACCGGGCGCCGCAAGTTGGCAGGTGCATTCAGCTTAGGACATGCAGGGTTTCACGATTCGGACTTGAGGATAGCAATGCTTACATTCTGACAGGTACCGAGGGCTTGGGGTTTATGGCGACCCTAAATCATCCGGACCCTTAGGGGGGTAAGGGGGAGGGGGGTAGGGTACTTCCTTCAACAGGCCTGATTCGGTCCTTGTTATGGGCATTAGCGCCCCCTACCCCCCCTCCCCCAACCTTCATAGGGTCCCTATGACTCGACAAAATACTCGACCTCATGGCTGTTTTGCTCATCTTCGTGCTGGCGACTGCCAGGGACAGCAAATGCTATGCCAGAGGCGAAAGGCTGACCCTTCGGGGTGTTTGGACGATGTTTTTCTAAGCCCTGGACTTCTGAACCCTCAACGTCTGGTTTAGAGTCTGGGGACTGTAGAGCTTACGTATTGGTCTTATCAAAATAGATTGAGGATAAAACAGTGTATTTCAATGGATATCTTTATTGGGGATATGGACAGCTGCCACTGCTTGCACTTTTGAAGCGACCTTCATCATCGAAGTCCTTGACCTGAAATGTTGTGGGGTGAGGGTATGAGGCTTACTTAAAGGCTCATGGGACTTAGTAAGTAAGGTTATAAGTAGGTTACAAACTAGGATAACCCCACTTAGGGGAATTATAACCCCAATTATAAACTACTTACTAAGTCCCATGATCCTCCAAGTAGGGTGCTCTAACTCTAACCAAATCAACCAAACCATCAAACGGTGAGTCCTACACCCGTGCTCAGTGAGCCTTCGTCTCCGCAGCTCGACGAGCATCCCAGCAGCTACACTTTCAGGATCACTCTTGCGGGCATATAACGCTTTAGGGCTTCCGGGGCATAAGTTTTCTACGTCTTCTAGTCTATCGCCCTAGGGATCTTTGTCCAGTATTTCAAGGAACCGGGGTGCGGTGCTCCCGCGGCAAAGGTGCTAGAAGATTGGGGACTTCGGGATTTTCGTTCAATCCCAAAACCAGACTGGCAAGACAAGCCCTAATGTAGGAACCTCATTAAGAAACCCTGGCCCTATAACCCCCTATATTTTATGACTCATATAAGCAACCCTAATAAAGGCCAAAGGTTTCTTCATCATGTTCCTGCATTATACTACGGTCTAGGGCTGGGGCCCAGACCTTCCAAAATCCCTTATATAATTAAGGAATATCCGTTAAATCATATTAAGGATCCTACTATAATTTAAGGGATATTCCTTAATTAAGGGATTTTGGAACGTCTGGGATGTTCATCAAAAGGGTTTCAGGTTTGGAGTTTGCCGGGCTTGCAGCGTTCCCAGGAAGATTTGATTGAGTTTTGGGGCTGCAGATTTAAGGTTTCGCGTTTAGTTTGTTTAGGGTTTAGTTTAGGGCGGATTTAGGGTTTAGGGTTTAGGGCGGATTTAGGGTTTAGGGTTTAGGGCGGATTTAGGGTTTAGGGTTTGAGGCGGATTTAGGGTTTGGGGTTTAGGGCGGATTTAGGGTTTAGGGTTTAGGGCGGATTTAGGGTTTAGGGTCTACAGAGTCTACAGATCACCTACATAGAGCGAGCCCAACAGCGGCTCACATTCGTGCAGGATTCTTCTCTTTGTAATCCTCCTCCTTGACAGTCTTCAGCTCGAGCTGGCCGTAGAGCATGTTGGCCTCCTGCATTCCGGGCTTCGGTCAATGTAGGAACCTGATTAAGAAGCCTTGGGCCTGTATAAAAGTTCCTTATATGCATCCTACTATGTTGGGGTTCTGGGCCCAGGGTTTCTTAATCAGGCTCCTACAGTAGATGCTTACGGTTGAGGGCTGAGGGGCTTTAGAACAGGTTGCCCACATGTGTTTACGTGAGGGTTTCGACTGAGGTTAAGCTAGAGATGGGCTATGACGAGCAGGATTTTCTGAAGCAATCGTTTAGGAGGTGTAAGGCGTTGGGACTAATCAAAGGTTCAGGAGACTTAGAAGAATATGTAGAACTGTGAGAAGCCTACTTGGGGATATCGTTGGCCCTGTGCTTGTTCATGGCGCAACTGTGGCCCGTCTTTTCTAAAGCGCTATCCTCAAACTGAGCAAACACTGAAACACCTTCCGACGATCGAACATGCCTTCCAAACCGAAGCCAAGACCGAAATTGGCTGCGAAACCTGAGGGCTCCAACCCAGAACACCTGGTCTCAGGCCGGAATACTTGGAGGATCTATAAGGGTTCCTTTAAAGGGATCTATAGGGTTCCTTACAGTGGGATCTATAGGGTTTAGGGTTTAAGGTCTACTTGGAGGATCATGGGACTTAGTATCTAGGGTTATACTTGAGGCAACTGTACTTATACGTACTTGAATCCCCACTTAGGGTACTTATAAAAATACTTACTTAGTCCCATGATCCTCCAAGTAGACATGTCCTGCAAGCCGTAAACGGGGCTCATGTGAACCTTTCGCCTGGAGCAGCAAACCTCAAGCCCTGAACCCACGCCGAAGCCCACGAGCCTTGCCGATCATGTCAGGATTGTACGAGAACTTTGTGTTTCCGACGATGACGATCTGGAAAAGGGGGTCTCCATTACAAACAAATCATAAGGATTTCGGGCCTTTGGGATCAGGATGCTGGCCTAGGGTTTAGAGTTAGGGTTTAGGGTTTAGGGTCGATTCGGTTTTGCTTCACGGTTGCACGACAGGGTTTGCTTTGGCATCAGGTAAGGTCCTGAACAGAGCTTCAGGTTTCGAGATTGGGTCAGCCCACTAAGCTTGCAACAAACAACAACGAGCTCTTCACTTCAGACCCCACATCATCCACACTGAAGCCAAACTTCAGAAACACAAGAAACGGCCCAAACCCTGCACTGAGGGTCCCTTGTAACATGCTTCAAGTTCGGCTGTTCGAAGCAGACACCTCTCAACCCCGAAGGCTACACTGTGAGTCCCAAACCCTACCGGATGTGCCTTCAACAGAACCGTGTCAACACGCTTCTGAAACCCTGTAAACCCATATCGTCACCAGTTGCATAACTGTTAACTGTAAAGTCCACAAACAACCGTGTATACATACACATACACAGACAGAGAGAGAGAGAGAGAGAGAGAGAGAGAGAGAGAGAGCGAGAAAGAGGGAGAGAGAGAGAGAGAGAGAGAAACCCTCAACCCAAAACCCTATTAACCCTAAAAAAACCTTCCAAGATGCCCGGCCTCGCCCTCTTTGACCCCGGTTTGCTTCAGCGCTTCGGAGGCGCCAGTTTTCTGTGCATGCATCGCGGAATGGGGTTTAGGGTTTAGGGCTTAATTGGGATTCAAGGTTTGTGGTTTAGGGTTAGATTAAGTCTTGGAAGTATAAGGTTTAGGTAGAAATGGGGGGTCTTAAGCATCTAGGGTGTGCGATTAATGGAGTACTATAGGGCTTAGGCTACGTGTACGTCACGTTTGCACAGCTTAATTCGGGAGTTCAGGGTCTTGCGATCTGTGTTCCGGGTAAAATATGCATGGGCCCAAGCCCATAGCTTGAGGATTCGCAATCAAGGATGGCTGGTTTCAGGGTTGAGGGTTCAGGGGTTGAGGGTTTTAGGTTCAGAGTATATATATATATATATATATATACATATATATATATATATATATATATATATATATAGGGCTTGGGCTTTAAACGTGCATGGGATTGTGATTTGGCCAGAAAGGCTGTTGTGTTATAGTGCATGTGCTTTTCAACATCTGCCGGAGAAGTATACATGTAAACTGCCATATGGCTTGTGCCTACAAGCCGAGAGGCCCAAACAGGTAGTCTGGCTTTGCATGCAGCTTTGCAGCCGGAAAGCCCTCGATGTCTGGGTCCTTGGATTCTGGTGCCTTGTGACATCGCTAACCGTCCCGGAACGCAAGGCCTTATCCCTGAGCCTCAACCGCCTCAAAAACACTGCAAACCGACACCCGAAACCCCCACAGCCCCTTGATCTCGAAGCCATAAACCTGAAAGCCTTGCTAAACCCAAAAACCTGAACACGCGGAACCCTTGTAGAACCCCTAAAAGAATCTTTACGGAACCTCCATGGAACCCTAAACTGCGGACCTTCATGATGCTAAACCCTAAACCCTAACCCCTCGACCCTGAACCCCTGAACCCCTAAACCCTATTATAAACCCCTAAACCCCTAACCCCTAAACCCCCAATAGACCCAAGGCCAAACTGCGGACCTTCATGATGCTGTTCAGGCGGTCGTAGCCACCGGTGTACGTCCAATCGGTTCGGAGCGCAACCTCCCAAAGTCGCAAGTCCAGACCCCTAAGGCTCCATGTAAGCATATAGTACATACTTAGGCCTGAAAGTACCGATATAGGGACCCCTTTAAGGCTTAGGTATCTACTCTAAAGCTACATGGAGCCTTTGGGTAATTTAGAGTCTGGGTTCAAGGGTTAGGGTTTGCCCAGAGGGTGATACCCAACCCCTGTTTCGGGGTGCCTTCTGCTCTTTGCAACAAAGCTTAACCATAACACTGGGCACCTTAATAAAGGGCTAGGGTAATTAGGGTATATCTCGGTTATAACCTTCTAGGGAGGGCTCAGGCTTTAGGTTTGTTAGATATTTGGCACGAGCCTTCCGACTCTGTAAACTCAGTGGTTTAGGGTTTAGGGTTTAGGGTTCCCAGAACGCAAAGTGCAATGCCTTTGTATGGATACTAGAGTCTGTTATTATGGTCCTAACCACAAAGTAGGTATCCCCATTGCGCACTAACTACAGTCTAGGGTCCAGGTATTAGGGTTTAGGGCTCGTCTTGCGCTTCTAGGCACCCTTTAACTTTAGGGCTTCTGATGATGTGACTCTCACGGTGTAAAGTCTTGAGGTTCGTTCAGAAGTGTCAGAGATTTGCGGGCTAGTTTGCAAGGGATGCGGAAAGCTCAGAAAACTCAGAACGACCAAGACACAGGCACTCTCACATGTGGAGGCACGCACACTTGCGATGTTCAGAAAGTTGGATGCAGATAGCTTGGGGTAGGGTTACTATAGTTGAGAATGGAAAACAATAACTGTGAAGCGTCTTCTTCTTTTTTATCATGTACAATTATCACTGTTATTATTAGGATGACTTATGATCGTGTCTGTTTCTTTTTATGAGTATTTTTAATAATACTCTTATTGTTATTACTAGTACGAAGTAACTTGTGTCTGTGTATGTATGTATATATATATATGTGTATATATATATATATATATGATACTGAAGGATGCGAGATGTGGGCCAAGCAGGCGACGGCATGAAGGGCTCTGAGGGCGAGTGTGGTTTCCCTCAACCTTCAGCCCCGAATCCAACTGGTCCAGGCCAGGGCCGAATAGCTCTAGATAGATCGTTATTGCATTATTTTTATTTAAATCAAGCACCTCGCCTAGTTTGCAAGCTTAAGGATTTTTTTGCAGTTAGGGCTAGGGTTTAAAGCAAGACAAAACCCATCGGGCTCCGGATATGAGGCTTAAGGGCTTATGCTTAGGGCTTAAGGTTTAGCAACTGGGAAAACAAAAAGAAACGGCAGGACCACCCCGGGGCTGCCTGCTCCACCTCCGGGTGTATGACACGCCATGCCTGACGCAGTTGACCTTAAACCCAAACGTACAACCACTGTAAACCCTCCCGCCAATATAGGCCCGGGGTTGAAAGCCTGAAGCGCAAACCATCATAGAGGTCAGCTAATACCCTCAAATGACTCAAGAGTCATACTGGGATCTTGACTGTCAGCTTAACTCAAGACTTCTGGAGTTGAAGGCTTTTCGGAATTGACGGTCTAGGGTTCAGGACCCCCAAACAATAACGCTGGGTGCTTCAAAAATCTGAGGTGAGCGCCGGGACTTGACTTAAACCCCAAATCCAAGATCTTTGACCTTGGGCTCATAGTCCTAAACCTCGCGGGCTCTGCTTAAAAGGTTATCGTGCCCTGAGAGACGTGTCTTGCTCAATTGTTTAAGGCGTGAGGCGTCAGGCTTCAGTTTGCAATGCCCGTCTCATGCTGAAGAACCTCGATTAAGACTCGACTCCATCATAAACCCTAGCCTCAAGACCGACACCTATACTGAAACTCAAACCTCTGGCCGACATGTCGCCTCAACTTCCCTCAGGCCGAAACATTAAAGCACTAAACTATCGTCGAGTTCGCACTCGGAAAGCGGCGCGAAGACCAGGCTGAATGGTTTGTATGAAGGACGAAGGACATGTTCCATCACTGTGAAGTATTCAACTAAATTGACCAGGAACCTTACAAGAAACATCTCATGTTTCGGATGTCGGGAGGTCTTGTGGTTTAGGATGGATGCCTGTAAGCCAATACCATCCGATCATATCTGCAAAGGTTATGAGTTTGGGGCTGTATATGTAAAGCCATCGCATCAGGCTGACTTTCCTCACCCAACCGAACAACGAGCCTCGCTCCATACTGAAGCTTGATACTCGTCGGATAAAACCACGCTCTTATAAACCCCAAGCAACCCCACTGGATGTGCGATTCCTACAATCATAAATCTGAGTGTTACAACTCAACTACATTGAATAATGCAAAACCCTAGATGCCAAAGAACACAGCATTGCTAGCCGAGTCGTTGGACCCCAAACCGTGCTTGCAGTGCTTGCCTCGTCGATCACATCCCATTCCACCTTCGCCTGCATTCGCACGGCCGGAGAAAGCCTTAAACCCTAAACCCTACTGAACCCGAAACCCTAAACCCCAAGATGCAGGGCCCCAGGCCTTGGGATGACACTTAAACAATGGTTTTGACGGCGGTTTGAGGGTTCGCCGGGCTTCGTAATGGGTTTGCAAAAGGGTTCAGGGTTTGCAAGGCTCAGGAAAAACTCCTGTGGGTGGTGCATGCTTCTGACGAATCTTGCTTCATGCCAGTACAAGCCCGCATGTTCTGGTACAATGTCACAATAAATTCGACATTGGATGTCATGACCCTAAAGCCCAACACCCCCCTCAATCTTAAACTCAATCTCGACCTCGCAAAGATTCTGAAACTGAAAAGCCTGCATGGCTTGGAAGTCCTACTGCAAGACGTCGTGAGCACGGTTAAAATGTCCACTGTGAGACTTTGGCGAACCTCGAAACAACCGTACCGTCAACGGCTCAGGCTTCTGCATCTGGAAACTATTATTGTAGGATTAGTCACAGCCACATGCACCCAAACTCACAAGAAACCCTACAATTCGAACTTGCGGAGCCCAACCGCTTTTGCAAACCCTCCTTTGTCCAGCTGAATTTTGGCGATAAAAACCAATCACGTGCCGGTCGAAGCTCCTCAGGGAATGCAAGCCCATGTCCGAGCCCAACAGCCCAAAATCTGCACAAAGGGAAAGTGCAGGGTTTAGGGTTGAAACTTAAGGACCAGTTCCTCGCAAGCTGACGGTCCTCCATGAGCCTGACAGCACAAAATCTGGCATCTCCGGCCTCCCTAAGACTCCAGATTGACCGTGCCCAGTCGCTGTCACAACCAACCAAGAATCTTAAGACCATAAGCCCCTAAGCCCTAAACCCACCGATTAAAATGAGCACGCCCTGCACCATTTTCATCCCATAACAAGGCCCTTGGACAGTAAACCTTGAACCCCTAAACCCTGATCCTAAAGGAAGGCGGCACGCTCAAACGGACCCTACAAGGGACCCTCATTTGGAGAAGTAACTACCCTTTTTGTACCCTTATAGAGCCTGAAAGGGACCCTAAAGATCCCTTGCAGGAACCCTTAACGGAACCCTATAGATCCCGGCCCTTCAAGGAGCCCTTACAAGGGACCCTGAAGAGCAACCCCCCCTCTTGGCACCTGGTACTCCGACTTCTGTCGGCGGCCTGTGGGCAAGGCCTGAAGAGCCGACACAGGGGTTCCTGTAAGTGATCCATGTGGGTTTAGGTGTTGAGGGTTTAAAAGTCTTAAGGATCTAGGGGATTTTAGGGGCTTACAGTTTAGGGGTTTAGTGAACCCCCAAATTAGTGGTTTTGGGGGTTCAGGGTTTGTAAGGGTCTAGGGTTGAGGGGAGGTTGACAGGTTTGCGGGTTCGGGCCAAGGCTTTGGGGTCTCTTTCAGGGTTTAGTAGAAGCCAGAAAGTTGGAACATGACTTTAGGAGGATTAGTGCTAGGATCCCTTATACTTTACCTTAAGGGCATGAGGGTAATGATGTTCCAACTTTCTGGCTTCTACTGTAAGATATCGAGCTCCGCAGCCGGGAACCCTGCGCTCCTGACTCCTATCCATTAGAGGGAACTCCAGAAAGTTGGAATATGGTTTCAGGGTAGGATACCTTATAATTTACCATAGAAGGGTTAGGAAAATCATATTCCAACTTTCTGGCTTTTACCTGAGAAGGGGCCCCCACCCTGTAATAGTTAGTGACTAGAAGGATTAGATTAGGGCCGGATTTCATATTCCTATGGTACCACTCTTACAGGGCGGGGGCCCCTTCTAATCCATCCACACATCCCCAAACCTAGAAGCCATGCAGCACCAACCCACAAAACCCCAAATCAACGGTTACAACAAAACAAGCCTCTCTAGTGATTCAACTCCATGGTTCTTCGCAGAAAATGAGGGAATGGGCTAGAGGGACTACTATAGGGACTGTACTAGGGATCCATTCCCCCTTTCCCTACCAAGACGAAGCCCATCGTGCTGCTTGCCTTGTCCAGTTCCACTGGCTCTCCACGTCCCACCTGATGGCTTTGGAGTCTGGCGGGGCTCAAGGTTCAGGATGTGATTAAGATAAGAGGATGCAGGGATGTGATAGGGCCTCAGGGGCCTTAATCATTAAAGAAAGATTTCGGGGTATTATCTATACTCTATTGATAGTAAGGAGCCTCAAAATGGTATTAGCAAAATTATGTAGACCCAATGTTGCTAGGATTGAACAGTCAGGATCCGAGGTTCCGGGTCGATGAACCGGTCTTTGTCCTGTTTCCCAACACCAAAATACAAGGACCAAGACACGTAGAGGCTTCAAACCCAGCGCCCTGAATCCTACATTCAGAACCCGCGAGCCGTCGACCTGCACCGTGCCCCCTTCAGCGAAACAAAACCAACTCTTGCAGTATGCACATCAAAAAATGAAACGCGAGTTTGCATCAGAATTAGAGATTCCGCTCAAAACGACAAGCCGTTACCTACCCTAAGCCCTAAACCCTATGATATACCCTAATTGCTAAGGCTTTAACACAAAACGTTAGCACTACCCTCGTCATATTATACACCCCAGGCCCTGAGTCCTTAACTCTGTAACCCTGCCCTATAATATTCCGCATATTATAGCTGTGCCCCAAAAGCCCTGAAAAGAACTGAAGCCTTAACCCGATTATATAAACCCCACCGAACCCGTAAGGCCGAAACCCAAAACCCAAACTCGCACAAGCCCTAAAGCCTCAACCCTACCCTGATGATACCATGCCCTACATACCCTGAGCTCTAAACCCTGAACCCTAAAGCCTTAACATGCCTGCCCTCTATCACATACCCTATTGGAACCCTAAACCCTAAAGCCTTAATATGCCTTAACCGTACCCTATTATACTAAACCTCCTAATACACCCCAAAGCTCTATATCCCAAACCCCATAAAGCCTTAACCCTACCCTATTATATACCCTCTATTACATACCCTGTTGGAGCCCTGAAGCCTAAACCCTAAAGCCTTAACCCTACCCTGTCTCGTACCTCCTCGACCTTGCCACCAAGCTGAGTCAGCTCCCGCCTGCACTAGGTCAGGGAAATGTTTTTTGGGTCGTTGGGTTGGGAATTCCCAGAGAGCCCAATACCCCTTAATTAAGGAATATACCTTAAGTTATAAGGGGATTCATATTATGATTTAAGCTATATTCCTTAATTAAGGGGTTTGGGGCTCTCTGGGTTAAGGAGCGGATCTATAAGAGTTCCTTTGAAGGATTCCTCCAGGCGGTCGAGGGTTTAGCGCTTCTGGTTAGGGTTCTAGGTACTGCAATTTAAGCTTCTGTTTGCGGTATTTGGGTCGTGAATTGAGGGTTTAGGGCTTAGAGGTTGAGGTGTGGGGCTTCAGATGGGGCTAGGGTTTAGAGGCATGTGAGGCAAATGTTCGTGGGTCTTTGGGTTGGGGTTGAGGGTTTATAAAGTTAGGGCTTAGGGGTTAAGGTTTCAGATTCCGGGGTCGAAAAAAGTTTCGGGATAGGGCCAAGGGGCCTGGGCGGAGAGGGATGTGAGAAGTATATTGCTGCAAGTATGTTGTTTTGAGTGGATTCTCAAGGGCTCCGGGGTCAAGAGTTTTGCGGGTGGTTTAGGGTTTACCGAGTTCTTGTGAAGCAAAGTAAGTTACGCTACCATAATATATTGGGATCCATAGTAACGATATGGTTTCTCTAGTATGGTAACTTGAAGTTAAGGTATTTCCCTAGCAAGAGCTGAACAAGCACATTCCCGGTATGGCTTCGTGCGGTAGGACATCTTGACTGCAGCAGAATCAGCTGCGACCATCGCCCAATATTGAAGTCCGTAGACTACTACTATCGATCCATCAGATCAGAGTCTAGAATCAACCCGACTCTGAAGGGCGCAATAGTCCTGAACTCAACCGCACGTTACACTCCTCAACATAAGCCTTCAACTTAACCTGAACCTGGACCCATAAGTATGGAGAATAATAGCCTTTGATAGATGTTGGGCCAGTAATTCGCTACTGTGAGTGTATTTTTGAAAGTCTTACCCTAAGGGTCCAAGTACCCAATAATCATATACTCTCCCAAATAGTAACCTGCATAACTACTATCCTAAACCAAATACCTTATTACTGGGTCCTTTTAACCCTTGGCGTATGAACCCAAAACCCAAAACCCTAAACCCTTATTATTGGGTCCTTTGGACCCTTAGGGTGAACCTTCAACTGGCCATCGGCGGCCTCCCAACGACGTGTGCGGCATCTGAGGCGGGCGAGCCATTTTCATCCCAGTCCTAGCCGTTGAGAGGTGGGCGCATTGCACTTTTTAGTGGTTCCTTATTATAATTATAATCAGTAGTATTATATGCCACTCAAACCCTATTCTAATTATGTAGATTTTAGGTCTTGCAGTGGGGGTGCCGGCGTGTTGAGCCAAGGATACTGCGAATCCCACCAATCAGACATGTGCGTCTGACAAATGTACCTTCTCGTAAACCTCAACCCTAACACCCGCAGCCCTGATTGAATTCCCACCAGACTGAACCAGCCAACGAAGCCGTATCGAAATCATAGAGAAGCCCTGCAGCCCAAAGACCTTAACTCTCCCAAGCCCTAAAGCGTCCTTGCGCACCACCGTTCGGTGCCACTTGTACACCCGCTCCATCAGCTCGTCGGTGTTGTACCTGGCATCAGAGAGAGAGAGGGACCCTCAGCAGGGTTGGGGACTACATTTCCTTAAATAATTAGGCCTTATTGGGTCCGTTATTATAGGTATTAAGGCCCCCAACCCCCCTAAACCCTAAATCCTAAGTTGCAGGTACAAGGCCCCCTACCCCCTAAGGCTCCTTATGACGGCATCCTGAAGAGCTTGCGGCTCAGGCCTTGAGCACCGGGCTCATGGTTCGAATTTCGGCTTTGGATTCGGCGTTTACCTGGACCCCCAACAAAAGTATGTAGAATAATCGCCATTTTATCGGTGTTGGGCCATTGTTTTACCTACTTTGCTGGGTTTGGGTGGGCATTTTAGCGCTCAGGATGTGGCTACCAGTTTTCAGACGTGCAATCTCTAGGAGACTGTTTACCGTAACCGCGCAACACCTACGAAGCCTAGACCAGAAGCCCTATGAGCTGATCCCACAAACTCTGAATACCGGACTCCACTCGACCCGAATTCAAGCTCAAACCCTAAGGCTCTAAGGATTGATATTTTAAGGCTTTTTGGGCCTAAAGACCATGTTATATGAGGCTCTTGGGCCATTTTGAGCTTTAGGGAAAGCTGGCTCAGGCCACCTTGTCGCCGCGGAGATGTTGAAGACGCGCGTATGCCCACAACGCCTCCGTGGCCGCCAGAAGCATAATCACGAGATGGGGGTTTCCGAAAACAGGGGTACCTTATCTTGGGGTCCTTATAATAAGGATCCTACTATTTAGGGTACTGCATTAGGGTCCCCTATTTTCCGAAGCTCCCATATGGTCTCAGATATCGGACTCAACAGGTTAAGTTCAGCTTGGGGTTTAGGATATCGGCTCAATCCCAAAGTGTCCTAGGTACTGTTATGGGGACAACTTCCCCAAATCATAACAGAAAGTCCTAATATAGAAACCCTACATTCTACCATATAGGTACTTTGGATCCTTTGGGATCATGTAGCGGTGCGACTCAAGGTTGTGAAGCAACCCCCACGTCGCTGAGAACTTGGCATGGGCAATGAGTTGTGAGCAGTGTCAGGCCATCTGCAGTTCCACTTCGACGGAAAAGCATGCGCTGTCTTCACCCGTACATCATACCTCGAGTACATGACGACTGTCTACGGTGTAGAGGGTTTAGTCTAAGCTCTCGAAGCCCTGTAGTGCAGGTATGTCGTCCTTTGTTGTGAAATGATGTAAACTCGTCTATAAACATCGAGCAATGCGAAATCCACCTTTGCCGCTTTGCAACCCTGCTACGCTTAAAGCAAAGCCGTGCTCAGCATGCTGCTCCATAGCTCTGACTCATGACCATACGGTTTAGCGTTTAGGGTTCATACACCAAGGGTCCAAAGGACCCAATACTTACGTAGGTCCTTAGGTTTGAGATAGTAGTTATGTAGGGTACCATTTGGGAGAGTATATGACTATCAGGTACTCGGACCCTTGGGATACACCAAGACCCACATCGCGAAGCCCCACGGCTCCTCAAATCTGAAAGCTTCAGGCCTCCAGCAGACTCTATAAACCACACGAACCCAAGCCCTTGCCTGCGGAGCTCCTTCATCAGTGCCGGCAGCCTCTCCTTCGACGTTGTAGAGTTCTTAGGATTTATAGAACTTACAGTCGAAGGTTAGGGTTTATGGTGATCCGTTTTTGTGTGAAGGTCTAGCGGCCTTGTCTCCAAGCTGCTCCAGAAAGGAGTACTCCCCCGCATATTCTAAATGCACAGGATTCAAGTTTCAGGGTTTGAGGGTTCAGGGTTTTGAGGCTTGGATCGAACCTGCGAGTTCAAGGGCTCAGAGCTTTTGAAGTCTTGCCAGTGGTCTAGGGATACCGGTATCGTCCATTATAGGTCTTTCTTGGTGCAGCCATGAATTTTTGGGACCGTGTCCGAGGTGTTGGCTGGCGTGCAGGGATTGGATCAATCACAGGCATCCATGAGAAAGGACGAAAGCCGAAATTTCTGGTAAGGGTTGCACACAAAGATTGCTTAGCAGGGCTCAAGGTGTAGCAGTTTAGCATCTCAAGTCATGGAGGTTACTCCTGAACTTCGGGGAGGTCGCACTTGTTGACCACGATGACCTGCGGCTTCATGGCGACCTGCAGCGGCTTCAACGAGCTGATAGGGCTTTGTATAAAGAATTCAGGGGTTTGGGAAATTTCGAGTTTGAGATCTACCTAGACCCTGCCTGACCTACCCTGTCTGATTTTTTCACGACGCCCAACAACTCTACGCAAGCAAGCCCTTTGGTGCCAAACTTCCAACCACACCTTGTGAAGCAAAGGAGGTGCCAGGGAGTCCCTCAATTTTGACGCTGGCGATTGATATGGAAGATCCCCGAACCTGGCACAACCGCCGGGTCTCAGCTGGAGCTACCGTGGTGTTCTTGCAATAGGAGGTTGAATGACAGACGCTGCATATCGGCGGACCTCCGTGCTGTAGTCCCGCAGCTCCTTCTGGATGGTCTCGAAATCCCCGATCGGGTCCTACAAGCAAGAATGCTCGGACGCTTCGACCTTCCCGAGTAAAGTGCTCTATTTTTGGATGTCGCTTTAGGATGCGATCATGACGACAACATAGGAAGCCGGATGACCAAACTGAGGAGGTGAGAAGGCAATACAACACCAAGCTAAGGCTAAGAAAGGCGCCTTAATAAATAGAGTAGGGTTTTGGTGCCATTGTAAGTATTTACTTAGGCCCATACATTACTGATGCGCCTGCTGCAGGCAACTCCGTTCGACCTGACTTCGGACCTGGCTTCATGAAATTTGACCTTCAAATAATCCTGCACCCATGCACTCTTTGCCAAAAAAAACTTCGGGCTCGGTTTCCAAATCGATCCATGGACCGATAAAGCCTGAACTACCAATCGACACAACTTACATCCTAAACCCAAGTAAAGGGAACTCCAGAAAGTTGGAATATGGTTTCAGGGTAGGATACCTTATAATTTACCATAAAGGGGTTAGGATAATCATATTCCAACTTTCTGGCTTTTACTTTACCTGTGTATTGCGTCCTTCGGACCCCTTGGGCAATGCCCGACATACCTTCGGGCTTATGCTACTATGCCGCTCCTTGACCTGCAACCTAAACCCTAGACGCCCCGTATTCCCAGACCTTCCAAAATCCCTTAATTAAGGAATATACCTTAATTCATATTAGGGATCTTATTATAGTTTAAGGTATATTCCTTAATTACAGGATTTTGGAAGGTCTGGGTTTATCAGCCCTAGACCCTGCACACTAAACCCTACAAGCCCTACATTTATCAACGCTAAACCCTGAACCCTTTAAACCCTAAACTATATTCCCTCACTCCTACAAACAACTAACTTAATCCTTTAAAACCTGAATCCTAAACTACATTCCCTCACCCCTATAAACGAATACATAAATCCTTTCAAACCCTGAACCCTAAACCCTACAAGCCCTAAACTATATTCCCTCACCCCTTTAAACAACTAATATATCTTTCTTAAACCCTGAACCCTAGACTACATTCCCTCACCCCTACAAACGAATACTTAAATCACTTAAATCTATTAAACCCTAGACTATATTCCCTGTCCCTCACCCGTACAAACAACTAACTAAGTCCTTTTTAAATTTTGAACCCTGAACCCAAACCCTATAAACATCTAAACTATAATCAACATCCCTATAAACAACTAAACCTTTTCTTAACCCTAAACCCTATAGACCCGATTCGTAAACTCTAAACCGTATAACTCCTTGACTCTAATCCCTCTAAGTAAACCTTTAAACCTTTTAAACCCCTGAACCAGCCGATCCTCCGAATCTCCGGCAATCACGTGGATGAGTGTCTGACATCGCCTCGGGAGCTGGGGCTCAGGGATCATGTAAGGGTTCCTTTAGGGCTTTAGGGTGTTTTAGGGTTTAGGGGTTTAGGGTGTTTTAGGGTTTAGGGGTTTGAGGTTTAGGGTGTTTTTGGGTTTGCAGAGTCCAATACCTGGAATCATGAAGCCTTCTAGACCCAGAGGCCCCAACGTAGTTCCTTTTGGGGTCCATATATAGAATCCTATAAAATAATCCCAAAAAAGAACTACTTTGGGGCCTATGGGTAGACCCCTACTCTTAAATCCCTGGAAACACTTACATGACATGCCTGTTGGATTTCTGAAAGACAGCTGCAATCGAGCGTCGCGCACCAAGGGTCGCTCTTGAGTCCCGTGTACAACAATAGGGGCTTCAACAGGTTAATCAGCCCTAAGCCATCAACTTCTAATACCTAAACCCTTTTTTAAAATCCTGTGTAATTCCTCACCCCTGAAGCACGGACCGCAGGAATTGCTTGGAGCCCAGAAAATATAGAATCCTCATAATGGAACCTTGAAGGGAATCCTTATTGTAGGATTTTTAAATTCAAAGAACCTTCTACAGGAACCTTGAATATTGAAGGAACCCTCAAACACCCTAAGCCCCTAACCCCTAGAGATCTTGTGAGGTCCATCGGCTTATAGAGGTTTGGGGTTTCGAGTTTAGGGTTTCGGGTTTAGGGTTTAGGGCTTAGGGTTGCTTACTTCCCAAACACGCGCGGTCTGATCGAAAGGTTCATAGCTACAACAGGTCAGCGCCGGGCAGTTCTGAACTATCGTCCCGTTCATATAGCGGACCCTCTCTGGGTAAGAGTCTACCCTAAACCCTAAACCCTGTTTTCTGGGGGGACCTAAGACGGTACCCTAATTTGGAGAAGTACACTTAGCGGGTTGAGCGTTAAAAACTGGGAATCATGAATAGAGGGCTAAATCAATAGCTGTGCTATTTTGTTTGGGGGGGGTCGTATGATCATTATAGTAAAATGGGCCCCAAACCACTATCCTAATTATTAATTAAGGAGAACCCCAAACTACACTCTAACTAAGCCCACCTGGGGGTTTCCGTATTCTAATTATAGTATAGTGAGCCCCACAACCAACCCTAAACCCTAAACCCCTCAACCCTAAACCCTAAACTAAACCCTAAACTTAGTATCTTTCATTCCATGACATGTGCCCTGAACCCTGGAAGCCATGCCGGGAGCTGGACTCGACATGGCGGAGGAACATGAAGCCTCAGATTGGGAGGGTTTAGGGCTTAGGGGTTTAGGGCTTAGGGGTTTAGGGGTTTAGGGTTTAGGGGTTTAGGGTTTAGGCGCTTAGGGGTTTATAGGGTTTAGGGGTTTAGGGGTTTGAGGGTGTAGGGGTTTAGCAAACATGTGGGGATTGGGGTTAGATGGGGTTAGGGTTTCGTTTAGGGTTTGGGCTGGCGGTGGCCCTAGTTCAGTTGGCTGCTCACCTTACGTAAAGATCGGGGACTTTCAAACCAAACCCCCGTCAAAGTAGAAACCCGCGAAACTTCACATCTTACACCTGAATCCTAAACCCCAAACCCTAAACTCCTATAAACAACTCTAAACCCCTAAAGCCCTCACCCCCTAGACTGAAAACTCTAAGCCCCTGAACCCTAAACCCCAAACCCGAAACAATGAACCTCCTCAAGCCCAAACCCTACACCCCGAAACCCCAAAACCCATGAAGCCGAGGCACCCATCCCTCGGCCCTCACTGGCTCCTTCAATAAGACCCGGCCTGGCAAAGCTCATGGGGAGGGGGTGTCTTTTAGCGCCCCTCTCGGCCTCCTTGAAGGGATCTATAAGAGCTTCTTTAGGGTTTCTACAAGGGTACTATATGTTAGGGAGATCTATAAGCACGCATGCTTATAGCCTTGCCTAACGTATCATGACTTACCGAAGGCTCTTGTTTGTCCACTGCAGCCGGGCTAGCTTTCCGAATTCCGCTTGCACCACGTCAGTGCCCTCGGCTTTCATCATGGACAGCAAAAACACTGAATCCGAATTCCCGAACCGCTGCTAAAGGTTAAACTTAGCTTCTAAATCCGAAACACAGCATTGTGAAGACAATGAGGTCGTCAACTCACGTGCGTCTGGGAGGGAGGTTTGTGAAGATTAAGGCTTCAGGTGTGGGGGTTCAGGGCTTAGGGGTTTAGGGTTTGGCCCGGACTACAAGATGTGTGATTTCCAAAGCGAACAGACTTCATTGCAGAACATGCCGCTGCCACACGTCACAGAGAGTGATTCCGCCGTGCACGTCGTAGTCATAGTAGCCTGCTCGCAGGAGTACCCCAAGACACATGCCTTACTTAAAGGCTCATGGGACTTAGTAAGTCATAAGTAGGTCATAATTAGGATAACCCCATTTAGGGGACTTAAAATTCCAATTATAACCTACTTACTACGCCCCACGATCCTCTAAGTACCTTTGGTTAGTAGGGAATGGAGGAACGGGTTACAATTAGAGCTACTCTTGGTGGAGGCGGAGGCAGTAAACAGTGATTTAGTCAGGCCCCAGTCATCTGAAACACTAGGGAGATAAAAACTAGAATTCGATGCATCGTTGTAGATTTTCTCTGTTTGAGCTGAACTCTGAACTCTTCGCGCGATAACCCAGACGATAACCTGCAAGATCAACAAGCAACAAGCCTTCAACTCAACCTTGTTTCGAGCAGGTCAAGTAGTGAAGGGTCACTAGACCGCACGCAAACCGTTCAACCAACCAACACTCACTAAACCCACAAGTCAAAACCAAAAAGGCCTAAGCCCTCAAATCCCTACCTAAACTCTAAACCCTCCAAGCTCGAAAACCTGAACCTTAAAAGCCCTGATCCCCAAACACCCTCAAAGCCCCAAGTCCTAAACCGGTTTAGGGTTTAGGGTTTAGAGTTTTGGGTTTAGGGTTTAGGGTTTTGGGTTTAGGGTTTTGGGTTTAGGACCCTCAAAAACCCAGAGGCCAAGTTGAGAAAGCCGCCGAGCCTAAATTCGGAACCGTGGTCGTAAACGGATACCTGCGGCGGCTGCAACTTGGGGCTGCGACTTGGGGGTTGGATTTAGGGGTTTAGGGGTTTAGGGTTTAGGGGTTTAGGGTTTGGGGTTTAGAGTTCAGCAGCTCCTGGTCGAGCAGTTTTACAGTCAAGTAGTTTTTATGTCTTCGATATAACACCCACCCACCCTTAAATCCCATAACATAGGGACTATATTTTTTACTAACTTTATTGGCCAGCCTTCTATACCCAGTCATCGTATACCACAGCTTGTTCCACTTAATTGCATTTCTAGGCCTACTTAACAGATCAAAATACATATTGTATCGTAAATTTTATAAACTAATCGAAACAGCTGAACAACCATGGGTGGCTGCCCACGAACTTTCATTGTACCACTACGCGAAGCAATTCACAAGTTGTTTTCGGTTCAACCATGGGTGGATTTCACTGCGCTAAACGAAACATTTCACAAGTCTTCGTTTCAACCATGGGTGGCTGCCCAACACTTAGGAATGGATTTGTTAACCAATGCTTGCGTCTGCACCACATACAAACAACTGCTTCGAATAACCCCACCCCACCCTCGAACCACATCCAAGTACAAGCCGTGACCCCGGGCTGGGCTGCTGGGCTGCTGGGCTGCTGGGCTGCTGGCTGAGCTGGGCTGCTGGCTGAGCGGGGCTGGGCTGCTGGGCTGAGCTGCTGGAGGGCTGGGCTGGGCGGGGCTGGCTGCTGACTGGGTGCTTGCTGGGCTGCTGGGCTGGGCTGGCTGGGCTAGGCAGGGCTGGACTGGGCGGGACTGGCTGGGCTGGGCTGGGCTGGGCTTGCTGGGCTGGGCTGCGCTGGGCTAGGCTTCAAATACGCAAATTGGCGGGCGCCCAAAAAATGCCCACGAATTTGCATATGCAAATTGGCGGGCGGGCTAGGCGCCCACGAATTTGCATTATGCAAAAACCCGCGACAGTCATTAGGGTTTATATATATATATATAGGGTTTAGGGTTTAAGGGTTTAGGGTTTAGGGGGTTTGGGGCTTAGGCTTGGAGATTGGAGCGCTCTGAATGACTCTGAGCCTCAAACCTGAACCTCAAGCTGAACCCAAGATTTTCAAGATGCTAAGAACTTGAGCCACTTCTGAAAACAACAAGCAGGGCTCCGACCGGCGTTTTCTCAAGGGTTTGTGAGCATTTGTTTACGCTAGGCGGTTTAAGAGAAGTGTGGGAACTCGGGTCGTTTTAAGATTGAGAAGCATTTCGGGATTTATGTCTTCCAGAGCTTTTGGGTGAGCTTTTCGGAGGCTTAGCATTTAGGTAGATGACGAGGGACGACTTCTGAACATTGCAGAAAGTTGCTGTTTGCGGGATTCAGTCTTTGGGGTCTAGGGGTCTAGCATCTATGTAGAGGGTTGAGAATTGAGGGTTGAGGGGATTCAGGGCACTGGCTTAGAAGGTACACTTTTGCGTGTGTGCGGTATGTAAGCGACTAATGGCAGTAGTCAGACTCAGAAGGGCTCTTTCACAGGTCATGAGAACAATTGACAAATAATTTGGACAGAATCTTGAAGTTTGTGGTAGCACGAGCGACATAGAATCGCAACCATGCTCATGATGCATAGCTTGGCTTCTTCCAGAGGCAGTAACGATCACGCCACCATAAATAAGATTCGGGCTAGACCCCGAACGGCCACATAATCTTCGATGTGACGGAAGCGCGTTTACTCAATATCAGCCTCAGCTGCTGGTCCTAGGTTTGAACTGCCGCAACCCTACAAGACCCGAAGCTGAAAACTAACAGCCCGAAACTCAAACCCGCAATCCCTGCTCATTCAAGAAAGTCGAGCCCTCAATATCCTTGCAGCATGCTGTGCAAATCCTCATAGAGTAGTTTAAGACAATCTCAATCGAAAACAGCCTACCACGGCACCGAGAAGACTGTTTGATCCTAAGCCCGGCCCTACCTGGACCCTGAAGAACCTACTTTTTTAGGGCTCCTTATT